TCCAGCACTCTGAAGCTAACATCCAAGGGACCACAGCACCCCTGTTAAGAGTCTGCTGCCGCTGAACTCCTCTGAAGGAAACTGTCCGCGTCGGGCTAGCACAAACCATGTATCATCATCTTCAGTTGGGGAAGACTCTCAGCTATCCTATCTCTAACCACTCCTTTTGATTTAAACATATCCCTATGCTGATTCTTGTCTCCAATCTAGTGGTACCTCAACCTTTGAACACTCTATGTCATCCCGAACTAGTTTTGCTTCTGACCTATTTCAGTTCTATTTCACAATTCAGCTGTATCTAATCTGTAGTTAAGCCCATCCACTGAGTTTGTATTTTTCAGTTCTAAAAATTCTATTTCTTCCTTTTCAAACCCACTATTGTCACGTTTTATAGTTCCCTGAAGACAGTTTGGAGCTTGTCTTTCCTTTCTTTAAGCACACAGCCACCAGTTGTTGTATAGTCTTTGTCTGATAATTTCGGGTTCTGTGGGTCCTTTTTTTTTTTTTTTTGCGGTCCGCGGGCCTCTCACTGCTGTGGCCTCTCCCTTTGTGGAGCACAGGCTCCGGACGCGCAGGCTCAGCGGCCATGGCTCACGGGCCCAGCCGCTCCGCGGCATGTGGGATCTTCCCGGACCGGGACACAAACCCGTTTCCCCTGCATCGGCAGGCGGACTCCCAGCCACCGCGCCACCAGGGAAGCCCCTCTGTGGGTCCTTTTAATCAACGACTTCAGGGATCTGGAAATGCCCTTCAACTATTAATGCCTCCCTTTCTATTTTCTTTAATCTCTCTGTGATCCCTGACGATCTGAGGCTGGACCTCTTGGATGGGTCTTCCATCTGTTATCTTTTCTCTCCATTGCCAACTGTTTGTTTCCTGATGTTCTAGGTGAATCCACAAATTTCTCTTTCAGCCCTTCGACTGATGTTTTTTGAAAATTCTGGTAATCGTTTTTAATTTTTCTTATTTAGTGATTACACTTTTTTTGCCATGGCATTTTATTCTTTTAAACTCTCCTCGGGAGGTCCCGGATGGCCTAGTGGGTTAGGATTCCGGGCTTTCACTGCCAAGGGCCTGGGTTCAATCCCTGGTTGGCGAGCTGAGATCTCGCAAGCCGCCTGGCACAGCCAAAACGCTCTCCTCAGTTCCCTGTGTAATCTCAGTTTCCTGTGAAGTGAGTTTCTCTGCTCATCTAGGTCTCCCTCCATTGCAATTTCCCCCCCACACCCAATGCTCCTTGCTGTTGGTCACATCTAGCCGTCTTTTCTTACTTTAGGATGAAGGCTGGGTATTTGGTGTGCACTGTAGCAGGGGACTGTTCTGTCCTGGTGCCTCCCTGAGCAGACACATCGCTGACTGATGACCAGGACTCCATCTGTGTAGGTGAGTTATGTGAATAGTTGGCTTCACTTTAGGATACAGGACCCCCCAAAACCAGGATAAGTAAGGCTTGCCTTTTGCAGATACCACTAGTCACCGCAAACCCTTAGCTCTCCCCAAAAGAGTTTGCTAAATTTCTTTAGTGACATAGGTTGACACCCGGTTTCTCTCCCATCACCCAAGCCAAGTAAGCTCGAGCTTTCTAGGCAATAGTAAAAGCAAAGAGCAATCTAAGCTTCGAGTTGTAACCACCAGTCTAAGTCTAAGCCAACTGGACAGTTCACTAGGGAAATAAGCTTCTGCCGTGTCCTGCATCACAGTTCCTTCCAGGCATGGTTGCCAATAAGTAGAACAAACAAGACAAAATGGATGAGCCACTCTGGGTTTATTACGTGCACCACCTTCAACAGGATAGGGGACAACACATATGCACCATACCTAGAAGTTCACTGAGCAGAGGTTCAACCCAACCTTTTTCTACATAAATAAAAACCTTTCCTTCATGACGTCACCTGTGCCTGAGGTACAACCCTTTCCTAACTCAGACCCACCCCCATTGTAGGAGCTGGTTCAACTGCTGCTCTGCTGCTAGTTAATAATCCTCTTTTGTACGTGGCGTTATCTCTATCATGACAGCAGCATGGGAAGGGCTCCCCCTCACTGAGGCAACCAGAGGGCAAGTGCACTGAAGCCCCAGAGGCCCTTCTGTCACCTTTAGCCTAACTCCAAGGGGTCCTTGGCTCCAAGATGTCCTTGGCCCCTGTGTGTAGTAGCCCAGAGACCAAAACACTCTGGGTTTCCTTCTCCTTATTTTGCCTATTTTTCTACGAGGTCTTGGTACTGGCCTATATACACTTCCCTGAATTCACATATTCCGTCTCTGATGAATCCATGCCCCTCTTCCCACGTTACAGATTTCCTCTCCAAGCAAACACTGCCCCTTCCAAGAGCGCCAACAGGCTCAACACTCCCCCACCTCCACCCTCCTCATTCCTCTATTCCTTACCCCACCTGTCAACTCGGAGTCCAAAGCCTCTCAGCAAAAAGCTGGCACAAAGGCTTTCCCTCCTGTAGTGTAAGAACCTGCCAATCAGCTTTTCTGACTGTGGTGTAAGTGCCTGACATTAAACTTTTGATCTGAGGCTTCCATTTCAAAGACATTCTTCTCGAATAAACATACTGCTGGCCACACAACTAGACAAAGAGCCAGGCCATCTTACCCATAAGGTTCCCCTTTTAGAAAGCTCTAGGTGACCTAGGTAATGACCGCTTCAGTGGCCCCCTTCCTGCACCCAAATTCCTGCTTTCGCCAGTAAAGAGTGAACCTGTGAAACCCTAGGCACTTCACCCTTGACCCCAAAAAGGGCAGAATCTCAGGTCTGTGCTGTCTCTCTCTCTACCCTCGACCTTGTTGTGTGGCCCCAGGTGTACCGTGAACCCTCCAGGACCTGTGAGGAATGAAACTTGTTTCTTCAGCGTTTCCTGATGGTGCTGCTGGGGTGCATCTTACAATCGGAACAAGAACTATAAGGGCCGGCCCAGCCAAAACAACACTTGGGCGGGGCTGGGGTGGGAGGGGGTAGCTCGCCACAAGTTGGATGGCCCAGGTGAGTGCTTCAGGCATTTCTATCCAACAGCATCACTACTGACAGGCTGAGACTAGCAGGAAACACCTCCCAGTCCAGTGCCTTCTGGGCCACTACACTCCTGACCCAGTTTCCACTTAAAAGAGATTTGGTGACATGTTTGTTTCTTCCATGACCACATCTCCCATTGCCTTCACTCCCATTGCCAATTAGTGGCTTCCTTCAGAAATTTTTTATATTCACCTCTAGGGGTCTATTAGGATATGTGGTTATGACGCATCCATAAAAAAAAAAAATGAGCCACAGGAGTGGGTATTTGAGGAAAATAAAATCATAAAAATGAATATGACTTCAAAAAAATTTCCTTCCTCTACTGGAACAGAAAAGTAAAGTACAGACCTGGCCCAGACAGCCTGCAATGGTATAGTCAAAACACTGGGTTTCTGTACTTCTTATCATCCACATTTACTGATACACCAAGCTAAGCACTTTGTACGCACTAACTCATTTATTCCCCCCACATCAACCACCTTGAGCTGAACGCCCCACCATTTAAAAAATTATTTCTTCTCTATTACAAAAGTCATATGCATTCATAACAGAACACTTGGAAAGCGGAGAAAACACAAAGAAAATTTACATTACTTTACTCATTATGATAGTTAAGTTTATGCGTCAACTTGGCTAGTCCATGGTGCCCAGTTGTTTGGTCAAATACTCGTTAGATGTTTCTGTGAAGGTATTTTGTAGACGTGACTAACATCTCAGTCAGTTGACTTTAAGGGAGATTATCCTTGATAACGTGGGCAGGCCTCATCCCATTAGTTGAAGACCTTATGAGCAAAAACTGAGGTTTCCCAAAGAAGAAAGAATTCTGCCTCAACACGATAACATAGTCTCAGGTTCCAGCCTGAGTCCCCAGCCAGCTGGGCTGCCCTATGGAGCCTGGATTTGCCAGCCCCCACAACTGCATGAGCCGCTACTTAAAATAAATCTCTCTCATTTTCTCCAAATATATATATACATATCCTATACATATCCTATTGGCTGTTTCTTTGGAGAACACTGACTGCTGATACACCCATAATTTCACCTGCCAAAGATAATTTCTATTACTCTTTTTCCATTCTTACAATCCATTCTCTATGTACATATGGTATATAAGTAATTTTATATACATATATGTAATTATACAGACACAGACAGACATACACACACGAGAGAGATGAACTCGTCCCAGTCATCTTGGTTAACACGAGAAGTCCCGCATCCTGGGAAACTGCTCAGTCCCAGGCAAACTGGGATGGTTGGTCAGCTTAAAACACACACACACACACACACACACACACACACACACACACACACACACACACACACACACACACACACACACACACACCTTTTCTTTTTCGCGGTACGCGGGCCTCTCACCGTTGTGGCCTCTCCTGTTGCAGAGCACAGGCTCTGGACACGCAGGCTCCGGACGCGCAGGCTCAGCGGCCATGGCTCACGGGCCCAGCCGCTCCGCGGCATGTGGGGTCTTCCCGGACCGGGGCTTGAACCTGTGTCCCCTGCATCAGCAGGCAGACTCTCAACCACTGCGCCTCCAGGGAAGCCCCCCTTTTCTCTTTTTAAATAAAATTGCAATCATTCTGTACATACTGTTTTGTAACCTACTCTTTTCACTTACAAATATATTGTGGTTATTTTCCAATGTCAAAAATATTCTTCTGTGACATCATGTTTAACGGCTGCACTGTATTTCATTTTATGGTTCTGTCTTTTCATTTCACCTCTAAAAACAAGAGAGTGGAACAGTAGGGGAAAAAATCATATACATACACACAAACTGTAGACCACAGCCCTCAAGGACGGCCTTGTTCTACTTTAATAAAATATTTACCATTCTTAGTCTTGGACACCTGTGCTGGTGCAGCGAAATGACTCAAAAAAAGAGGGAGCACCCTCTCTCTACCTGCCTATAACAACATGCATGGTGACACATTAATGCTTGAAAAGACATTGAGTCCTTACCTTTTTAATTCATTTACAATTGAAGTGTGCACTTCTACTGCAACTTTGCTGTCCAACTGTATTTTTAGTTCCTGGCATTCCGTCCGCAAAATTTCCAATTGCTCCTTACTTTTAGTTAGCTCCTTTTCTTGGCTCTGTGTTTTAGTCTCCAGAAGCATTAGCTGTTTAGTCAGTTTAGAAACTGAAACACAAAATAGATGGATAAAGACTTGGTACAGAAGAGCTAATAAAGCATGATTACTGATTACTAATACTAGTGAGAGCTTATAAAAGATGATCTTTGGGCTTCCCTGGTGGCGCAGTGGTTGAGAGTCCGCCTTCCGATGCAAGGGACACGGGTTCGTGCCCCAGTCCGGGAAGATCCCACATGCCGCGGAGTGGCTAGGCTCGTGAGCCATGGCCACTGAGCCTACGCGTCCGGAGCCTGTGCTCCGCAACGGGAGAGGCCACAACAGTGAGAGGCCCGCGTACCACAAAAAA